TCCCTAGATGATCCAAAATACAAGCTCTCAACAAGTCCTCCAAAGATTGGATAGTCCTCTCAAACTGCCCATCAGTCTGTGGGTGATAAGCAGAACTGAGTCTCAACTTAGTCCCTAATGTCTGGTGCAAACTCCGCCAAAATCGAGATATAAAACGAGGATCCCTATCAGAGATGATACTAGAGGGCACACCATGTAATCTAAAAATCTCTTTAATATACAATTGAGTTAACTTTTCCAAGGACCACTTTATATTCACTGGAAGAAAATGAGCACACTTAGTTAATCTATCCACGATCACCCAAATAGAATCACAATTCTTACCAGACCTTGGTAATCCAACAAAAAAATCCATGGTTATACTATCCCATTTCCATTTTGGCACTTCCATCATTTGTAACAAACCTCCTGGTTTTTTATGTTCCACTTTAGCTTTCTGACACACAATGCAAGATGCAACATACTCAACTACCTCCTTCTTCAATTCAGACAACTCCGCTGGTGCCATTCTATAAGGAGAAATAGACACTGGTCCCGCCCCTTGTATAAGATCAATACTAAACTCCAATTCTCGCTTTGGTGGTAATCCAGGAATATCATCCGAAAAAACCTCTGGGAAATCTCTAACAACCTCAATACTATTCAATAACTTTTCATTTTCTACACTAATAAAAGATAGGATCATAAACCCTAGAGCTCCACCTTTCAATAATCCATCCACCTGTCCACTAGAAATAAACCTTTCCTGTTCAACAACAAGAAAGATTAATCTCTTCTCTGAACAATCTATCAAAATCCTATTGGAAGAAAGCTAATCCATCCCTAAAATCACATCCAAATTGGATAAAGGTAAACAAAACAAATTTACCTTATAACAACGACCTTCTACTTCTACTGGACATCCTAAACAAACCTCAGAAGTCAAAATAGACCCTGAAGCTGGGGTAGAAACTACTAGATCCACACACAAGAAACTCACTACAAATTTTAGTCTTCTCACACATTCGTAAGAAATAAAAGAATGTGAAGTACCAGAGTCAAATAGAATAGAAATATTATTACTATCAACTTTGCCTTTTCCCTTCATCAGCTTAGATGACGTTTCAGTTTCAGCACCTGTTAAGGCAAAAACACGACCTGCTGTAGTAGGTCGATCCACTTTCTGGTTCCCTCTAGCTGGAGTATTTCTGTCATTGCAATCTTTAGCCATGTGACCCACCTTGCCACATTTAAAACACGCATAGTTCTTTGTAGGACAGTCCCTCATCATATGTGGGCCTCCACATGTGTAACATCTAATACCCTGAACAGCTCCTACGGTAATAGTCCCCATTGGTTTCTTATTAGCATTCCCTGTCTGAAACTGAGATGGTCTCTTTTGAAGATGTTTCCCCCTCCCAAATCCAGATGATCCCTCTGGACCCTTTGCCATTTTATTCCTTCCCTCAAATCTTTCAATCGTCTTTGCCTTTTCAACCAACACTGGGAATTCCACAATTCCCATAGGAACAATAGTCTTCTTCAGCTCAAATCTTAGACCTTCACTAAACTTCCTGCGTCTCCAAGCTTCAGTGATAGCTTGAGAATAGTACCTAGCCAAGTGTTCAAACTTGACCACGTACTCTTGTATTGACATGCCTCCTTGCTGCAGTCTCAAAAATCCAGCTTCCTTAGCATATCTGGTGCTATCTGGAAAATATTTCTCTAGAAACACCTTTTTGAAGTTCTCCCAATTTATTGCCTCCCTTCTAGCTTCCATCATAGCCTGAGCTCCTTTCCACCAGAAACTAGCCTCACCCACCAACATATAAACAACATAGACTAGTTTCTTTTCCTCGGGGCAATGCATCACCATGAAGATTTTCTCCATTTCCTCAATCCATTGGTCAGCAACTTCAGGTCCATCAACACCTGTGAATTGAGGAGGATTCCCTTTTTTGAACTCTGACAAGCCCCTATACTCATCAGGTACCTCAGCCCTAGCTGCTTCAGCTACAACCCTGTTGGTCTCCATCTGAGCCAACAAAGTATTCTGTTGTCCAATAGTAGCAACAATTAGCTCCATAGCTTGAGTAATCTAATGCTCCTCCATGCCTGAAAAAGGATTTGAATTGTTTCCCCTACCAACCATCCCAATCAAAAGGTCAAGGAATCTATGAGTTTACATTAAAACTCATAAGTAATTCCTAATCAATTTCCTCACAACAGAAACATGACAAGACCATTTCCCACAAACCGTAAGAGACTCGACCAGCTCTGATACCAAAATTGTAACGACCCGCCCTAGGTCGTCACATCAATCATCAACCATAATAAAATAATATATAATAAAGAAAACAGAGCAAAAGTTAGCTACGCTAGAGTGTAATTATAAAATAACATATATTTATTTTCCAAATCATACTATTATAAAAGAGTCATTAATCATAAAGTTATACAGTCATCCGATATATATATAACATTAACTATCGAAAGAGACACCTGAGGTGCTGGTCAAGCTCTAAGCCTAGCCACTTCTCAAAGCAGCTACCCAAAAGACTCCTTGCTATCCCAAGGCCTTACACTTGATCTGCTCTCCCACATCGTGAGATCATCACAGTTCCACCACATGGAAACATGCAAGGGTTAGTACGTATAAAACCAACCATAGTACAACATAATGAAATATCATTAAAACAGATATTAATCCACATTATTTATCCATTCCAAAAAGTCATTTCCATGCTAAATGTAAACCAATCCAATTTTATCCAATGTATACACATCCATGCCAATGCATACATATTTAATCAAAGAATCCATAACCAATGTATACAATCCATACCATATGTATACATATTCCTCATCCAAAATAAAGTCACACCATTGTATAATCCATGATGTAACCAATACATCCAAACCAAATGTTGGCCTCAACACCATCCAAACCAAGTGTTGATACGGTGAAACATGTCAGCAACCCATGTCCCACGCCTAACCTCTCATGGAAGATATACAGCTGAATTACGTCGTCATGTAACCCTGGTGGGGCCACCTCAACCATCGGTATGACTCGGCCCAGACCCATACCGGTAGCAAATAGAATACTTAGAGGAGTACTTCAGAATCCACCTAACATCTGAAGTGGTTTATTTTATAATCCTTAGAAAAGTTCCATATTGGAATCCTCACAATGGGATTCCCAAATTCCATATTTTTCCAATGATTATATCCTGATCTCACCAAGAGATCTAATCCATACCATAACCTTACTCCTTTAAGTCCTATTTACTTTCCAAACCACACACATAACAGTTTCCTCAATTACATGCAATTATTTCCATATCCATACCAAATCATTCAATATAATAACAAATAATTAATTGACTAAAAGAACCATGCCAAATAAAATATCATATTAAAATTTTCCTATTCCTATTATGCTCATACATACTAGATTAAATCTTATAAGTACTACCTTACTTTGCATACTAGATTAATTTTATAAATGTCACCCTTACTTGGATAAACTGAACTGAAACTCAGGTAGAACCTCCTCCTTTCTCTTAAACAAGAACTGAAACTGAAACTAGAGCACAACCTCCTCCTCTAGGCTCCTTCTGTCTAAGGCAGGAAGTTGAGGGAAAGAAGAGAAAGCAGAAGAGAAGAGAGAATGAGAATAAGAAGTGTTTTCTTGGGATGAATTGAAATGGAAGATTGAAGGACTATTTATAGCCTTCAAAACACATTAAAATATAAAGAAATTAGGCTTGGTGGAGTTGGTGGGATGAGTTGGTGGATGCGTTCTTTTGCATGCCGATTTTGACCTTCTAAACAGCCGAATTTGTGAATGGCTATTTCATGAAAGTTGTAGGGTTTTCGCTTAGCTTTCCATTGCCACCGAGTTTGCATTATTTGGACAACCACAGCCCAAGTTATGCCCTAAAAACCGAGGCTTGTCAATCAGCCCAGCGAGAAACGGTTTTAAGAAAAAAAAATTCACAACTATCTAATTAGGCCCAACAACACACATATCTTTCTAAAGCATAAATGGAGTGTGAATTAGCTACAATTGAAGTAAAAGATAACCACCAAATTATGACCAAATACCATATAATAATAATAAAAAAATAGGTATTACATTAGACCTGAAAGATTTTGGTGAAAACTAAAAGAAAGTAATTTTTTTCATTCCACATAAATATTATCTAATCCTGATAAAAATATATTATTTAATTTTGAAGCAAAATAGATAAAATAATATATTGTGAAACTTTTCAACCATCTTTAATTCCTTTTACTAAATACTAATATACAACTTTTTGAAAAAGAAAATTTTATTTTTCTTAAAATCCCTTCAATTTTAAATAGACTCTTATGATGATGAGTAAAATTGTTTTTTTACTCTTATCAAGTTATAAGAATATATTTTTATGAATAATTTAAGTATGGATAAATTGATTAAGGTGACCAAAGTTGGTTTAGAGGTTATTTGATTGCTATTAATTAAATATAAAAGAATCACTATTTAATTAGCATTTCATAATTTTTAAAATATATTATTAAAAAAATTAAATAAATAAGTTATTTTTTTAAAGGCTTAAATATATTTTTAATCCTTTAAATTTATAATTGGTCTTTTTGATTCATGTAATTTTAAAAAAATATTGTTTTATTTTTATACTTAAATTTTGTTAGAGAATTTTATTTTAAAATAGATTGTTGTCTATATTAGTGATAACATCATCACATTAAACTCATATAATGATGTATAATTATTTCAATCTATCACTTTCTTATGTGTTATTGATGACCTTAAAGATTAAATACAAAATTTTTAAGAATAACAAAAACTAAAAACAACTATTTTAAACTTAAAAGATCAAATAATAAATTTATCTTGAATTTAAGAGAACATTTAAAGTTAAAGCACTCTTAAATCATATGCATCCATCCTTACATGAGAACTCAGGAAAAAGGCCCAAATGCGGGACCAAGCCCAAAAGGCCACTGATGAAACCCAGCTAGGTGAATGAAAGAGAATGAATCTCGAGAAATTACTAAACTGCAACAATTTTTCTTCTGGGAAATTCATTCATTCTCTCGAATACCCAATTCTTTTATTCCATCACATACAATACAAAAACCTTCAAACCACTGTTCTTTCGTTTCGGCAACACGTGAAATCAGATCAACTTTCACCGCTTCCCTCGATTCGGTACGATGTTTCATTCCCTGTTTCTATTGTACCTATGCAATGGGAATTGTTAATTTCTTAGTCTATGCATGATTTGCGTTCCCAATTTTCTTTGAATCTAGTTATTTTGGGAATAAAATGAAGTCAAAACACTGTCTGAGATTTAACTGTGATTTAACACTGTCTGGGAAGCTGAAACCGAAACCTAATAACAATTTCACGAGGGATTGAAATTGAGCTAGCTTTCATTTCGTGCATTTCTTCATTTGAATTCAATGAATAACTTGATGTTTATACAACAGGGATTGAACCTTGAGAAGATGGAATGGAACTACACAAAGAAATGATTTTGGGTTGTTTCTGATTTGCCTCTTTCTGACTGTGATTCTTGCAATACCAGATATTTGAGGAGAAACCGGTAAGAGTTTTATTGTTATCTAGACATGCACTCACTTTTATCCCATTTTTTCGTTCTTATTTCATTCTTTATTCGTCACATATTATTATTTACTCTACTTTTTACCTTTTCCCCACTGTATAGGACTGTTCAAGAAATATTAGTGAATCAAGTTGAATCGAGAGTTTAAAAAATCAGACCATTAATCAGTGCATCGAGCCTAAGAAACAGTTTGATTTAGGTGAATTATATTTTTGTTTCAGGAAAAATTGTTTTCTAGTTTGGTTCGGCTTTTTTTATGAGGAACTAAAATATGAACAAGCCTAGAGTAATTGGAAAACACAAATTAGTGGAAAATCTATACAGAAGTGTAATGTGAGTTTTACTCAGAGTCTTAAATCTTGGATAATGTTAGCTCCAAGTCAGAAAATTGTTGTCTTTTGTTCTGTTATGCCCGGAAAGACATTTTTTATTATATCACCCTTCAACTGTTGTTCTTGGTGATGATATCTGATTATATCTGATTGAGATTTGTTCATTCAAGATGTTATATTGTTTGCTTAACAAAATGTATGTGTATTGTGGTGTGGAAAAGTGAAGTTGCTTAGTGGTTTCACATTGTAACCGGGATAAAAAAAGCTAAAAGGCTTGTAATATCTCCATCAAATCAGTATCTCCATATTGAGGAGAAACTCGTAAGAGGATTATTATCATACACTCACTTTTTCTTGCACATCATTTCTATCCTATATATATATATATATATATTATATTTTTATTTTTCCCTATATTTCTCATCAGTTACCTATCATTCTCTCATGTTTCAACTTAATTAATAATTTCAAGTTGATTGTTAAATATGCAGTCATGTTAAATACTTATAAAGAGAGTTTTGTTGCTTATAATGATTTTACCTTACTCGAACAAGAATGTTTTCATTGAAAGATACATGTAATTTATATGTTAAAAAAAAATACTCTTACGATTATGGACAAGAACTCTTGGAGAACAAGTCAAAAGAAATAATTCTTTGAATATGAATAATCTAGTTTTTAAAATTATCATATTTTTTTAGCCATTTCAAGCTATTGAAAATTAACTACAAGAATCTAGATCCGTTTGGTTTAAGGGAGAGAAGAGGAAGAGAGAGATTTTAATGGGGGTAGCGAAAGAATTGTAAATTTTGTTTGGTTGATATTAGAGGAAGAGAGAAAATATAGCTCTTTTCTTATTTGTTTTATAAGGAAAAGGAAGAAATTTTAAAATTAATTTATTTTTTTATTTTTATAATTTTAAATTTAATAACATAAGAAAGAATCTTTTTGAAATTATACTGAAATTGTTTTAAAATCTTCCTCCCTCAAAATGAGAAGGCAATCTAAAATTAGATGAAAATGGATTCTGCTCCTCTCTCATAAAAGTTTAGCCATTTTTTTAAAATTCATCTCCTCCATTTTTCTCTGACCAAATATTATGTAATTGTAAAATATTAAATATCAAATATTTGATTATAATTTATTTTTAATCTTTTTTATCATATTTTTAGGACAACATATTTATTAATTTTAACAAAAAAAATTTCACGATAGTAGTTTGGACTTTGCTTTAAATTATATGATCTAAGCTGAATGTCTCTAAGAGCATCAACATAATCATAATTTGTTTTTATTTTAAAAAACTAATTGAAAATTCTCAGACTAATTAATTTAAACAATACAAAATTAAGGCACATGTTACATAGTCAATTAGTCATGAGTGACTGGTGAGTGAAACGACGCATTTAAAACGGTCATTATTTGGATATGACCTATGGCAGTGCTGTGTTGTTCCGCAGTGATCTTTCCTCATTCTTGTTAGGTTTTGCAGAATTTTGAGTTTGATTGCAATTGATGCACAATACAACCATTGTTTTCTTTCAGTGACTCGCGAAATCAAATCAATATCAACACCCTCTAGCTATTTGGCACGATTTTTCGTTCCCTCTTTGTATTACTATTATCTATGGGTGGGTTAGTTGGAAAGAGAATTATTAGTCTATGCATGATTTCTGGCTTGTTATTTCAAAATATTTAGAAAAATGGATCACTTCATGTGTACGATTAATCGATTAACATCTAACAACTCTTCATTGTTGATAACCATGCTTTTGCGTTCCCGGTTTTCGTTGAATCTAGTTACTTTGGAAATACACTGAAGTTAAGTGAGAACACTATCTTAGACTGAACTTTGATTTTCTTGCTCGAATTAATTAAATTAAATTTATACAAATAGAAGAGTCATTTGTTTGAGAAGGTGGAACTGAAGACTAAAAACAATGTTGCTCTTTGCATAATTTATGTATTGTCCAACCAGTTATTTAGGGTTATTCCATGTGTGTATGAAACCAACTTCCATGCATTTCTACAATTGGGCTCAATGAGTAATTTCATGTTTATACAAAGGGGGATGTACCTTGAGAAGATGGAACCCGACAATGAGTTAATGATAACCTCTATGTTTGAAGATGGAATGAAATCACATTAACATATAACTTTCTCAAATGATTTTGGCCTGATGCTAATTTGTTTTTGTTTCTTTTTGACAGTGATTTTTGCAAAAGTGATCCTTGCAATACCAGATATTTCTCTGAAACTGCAAGCAAGCACTCAAGCAACTGTAATGGGTATAATTAGGAGTTGCTTCTCTTTCATTGCAGGGACGGCCTTTGGGGTTTACTTGGCTCAAAATTATCAAATCCCTAACCTCAGGAAGGTAGCTGACACTGCCTTGTTACAAGCAAAACAAGTTGAGGAAAAATATCGCAAATCTAAGAAGAAGGACAGTGATAATGATAACTAAGATTAGAATCCCTATGTTCCCACATTGGATTCACGTTCTTGTTTTTGTATTTTTTCGGGGTTTTGTCACACATCATCATTTAGGATCATGCACCACTATTCACTAGAGTACTTTCAAAATACAATTTAATGGAACATCTATACAGAAGTGTTCTTTGCATTTATAAAATTGTTATTGAATCCAATTTTCACAGGAAATGTTATCATTCTGCTCTCTTGTTCCAAAATTTGATTTAAAATTACTATAGTTGAAGAAGTGTAATGTCAGTTATACTCGAATTCTTAAACACTAGATAATGTTAGCTCTAAGTCGGAAATTTGTTTAATGGTAATCAAAATTGTATAGACGGGAGTGTTTTGCCCATAATGACAATTAAAATCATTCTTTTGTTATGTTGCTCTTGGTGATGATATCTGATTGGGATCTATTCTTTCAAAACATTACATTGTTTGTTTAACAAAATATGTCATTTGATGTGGAAAAGTGAAAGATGTTTGTTAGCTTAAACATTTTAATTGGGATAAAAAATAAACCCTAAAAATAACTTTGTCATATAAGTAAGACCTTAAGAAAGTTATTGGTGCTTAGAGAAGTTGAGAATAGGGGAACCTTTGCCTAGAAGTACCCCTATGATATAAGCAAGTATTGTACTGTATGCGATGATGCACCTGTTAACATACGACATTATGAATGAAAAGTCACAATCTAGTAAGCTAGAGAATGAAAGGAAGGGATCCACTAGCAGAGGTCTTGGGGTTAAGGTGTACAGTGGTTGAAAAGCCCATGGTCAAGATAACGCCTTGCACCAGAAATGTAACATCCTACTATATCACACACAAATCCTTATTAACTATTTGTTGTTATAAAAATGAGAATAAATTTTTCAAGTTTATATATTATTATCATAAAATATAAATAACCATGATCTTCTTAAATATAAATGAGTTCTTATTACAAATAGATATAGTGAAAATACATATTAACTATTCTCACTCATATAAAACCTAACTAAAGCAGTACAAAAATTCTATCTTATCATAGACATGAGTATAAGTGAAAATAATCTTAATGTGTTATATCTTCTTGATAGTCTTTATAATCCTTTTGATATTCATACTATTGAATCAACTTGGTCACTATGCTTGACTAATATCTTCACGTATATCCAACAAGTATATGTACAAAAGAGAAAGGAGTAAGGATTTAACCTCAACTTATATATATATATATATATATATATATATATAAATAAAAGCAAATATATATTTACATAACCTATAAATATGACACATACTTTCATCTAACATAATAGATGGAAAATTATTAACCGTGTCTACCCATCCATTATCATCTCTAATCAATTTGTTATAAACCCTAGCTTTCACTATACATGCAGCATAAAAGTTAACACCATAGTGCAGACTGCACCAACGTTGTTTATAAAAAACAACCACTGTAACATGCTTATTCGCAAAAATCAATGTAAGTGACACATTAATTTATGGGGAAAACTAGAATTAGTTCTAGTTATACTTATTAGACAACGACTCTATTAAATACAAAGGTAATAACACTTACCATCAGACACACAAAAACTCTAGAATTCATTCTAGCAGTACTTACTTGACACTAACACTATATGGATCCATACTACCTCATTTCGGAAGTGATTGGGAGTACATATGTTCTGACCCATAAATGGTATGATTCCATCCCTCGGATGAATCTCAATATATCAATGGGATACTTCCTTCCCTGTCCAAATTCGAGACATACTCTCACACCAATCTTGGAATGCTGGAGTAGTTGTTAGGGTTGTTGACTTGGTTTGGTGGAGATTTCGGTTCAAGGTGCCACCTTGACCCTTGGCTTTCTCAACCTCCCAACACCTTACCCCCAAGGTATTCCCATTAGTGTGTGACTGTCTGCCTTTCATCCTTCATCTTTACCAAGTTGTAACTTCTAGTGCAAGGCTTCATATCGTCACATGTCTCTCATTGATAGTCATATTTTAATACATCTTTCTGTATATGTTTTTGCAGTATTTAATTTCTTTTAGTGTCATATATTCATGTATTAGTTTAGATTTGTGTTAGTGAGTCATTTAGGATTTAGTTGTAAATTTTAATAAATTTCCGTAATAATTTTCTCTTTTGACATAGTTTCTTGTGCAAGCCATATCTGGAGTTATACAACTTGGAATTGGGCAAACTTGGTGTCCCTGGAAAGATAACAAGGATATCTATAACTTCAATGTTGACAGAAAAACCCATTTCGAACGTTTTCAGACACAAAATCGTGTCTCAAGCTCGCGGCCTTGCACTGAAGTTTTCAATTTGTCTTGAAATTGTTTAGTTGTAGTTAATTAGGCTTTATAAATGTAATTAGTGGGTTGAACCCTTAGTTTAGGCCCATTACTTCGTCTTTAAATTCATATAATGACTTTTAGCATCAATTTTGTACTCTCATTTTTTTTTCTAGATTTGGGAATTCTTGCTCAAGAAGTTTCTCTCAAATTCTCTCTTCTCTTCTCTCTCTCTCTCTCATGAAATTTCTCTCTCCTCTACTGGAATTGGCTAAAGCAACATGATTATGAGACAAGACTAATCTATCAATCGGTTTAGGGTTTCAAGAACTACGGTAAATTTGAGTTCCTAATTTTTATCAAATGAATTCTCTCTTCCTCTTCTCTTTTCGATTTATGATAATTTCGTTTTTCATGATATTGAACTTTCGTTTTGAATCATAAACAAAAACGAGAAGATACAATTTCAAATTTGAAATAACTTAAATCAACCTAAATCAATTTGATTACCGTTCTTGAATTTTGTTGGAACCTTGAGTTTGTGATTGTAGTTCTTGTTTTAATAAAATTCATAATCTAGATTTAGATCTCTATATTGATTAATTTCGAATTGAATTAGGTTGGTTAAGAATTTGTATTTTTTGTGAACAATGAAAATTATACCGTAAGAATTGAAGTCTTGAACCGATATTTGATAATATTGAAATTCTGTGTTGAGATTCTATCTTCTCTTTTCTATATTGTTGTTTACAATCTTTTAAAAGTAAAATTCCTCCCAAAACATAACTCAATTTCATGATAAAAAAAATTGTAAATAGAATGAACTTATGTCCTTCAAAGATGACCTAAGTTAGTTCTCTATATTATAATTTTTTTTAGAAACCTAGTTTTGTTTGATAGTTACTCGACAACGCTATCACTCACATAGTCATATTCCTTATGATATAATCATAGATATCTCTTTCTAGAGAATTCATTGGTCTCACTCACTTTGAGCACCAATCTTTAACCATGTACCCTTACTTTGAAGGATTTCTTGCGTGACATGTTCAGGTCAATATATATTAATATAAATCAACAATCCTAAATTTAATTATTATAGTAAAAATTAAGAGAAAGTAATATTGAAAAAATAGTTCTCTCTATATTTTTATTGAGTTTGAAAAAATATATAGCAATACATTTATTTATAAAAGAAAAGATAACTATATAAAATAACGATTTACATACATAATCTTATCTTAGGAAGATAATCAACTAGATGATAAATCATAATAAATGATCATAGTAAATTTTTTTTTTTTTTATTTCTTATTCTTAATAGTAAATAATTAACTTAGTAAGAAAATATTTTGCTATATAATTGGAATATGACACATTAAAATTTACTTATTTAAGAAACTAGTTGAAAATCAACTCCATTGATTTTCTTTGAGAACCTTGTCTGTTTATAATATATTTTTAAAATAAAAAATAAATTTTTAAAACTTAAATAATTATATCAGTGAAAAGATCTATGAAATTAGTTTTTAAAGTATTAAAATTTGTTTTAGCAAAAATCTGCAAAAAAATTATGAAAATTCATGCAGATTCATATGTTCTTGGAGAACTTTTGACTGAACTATTTATACAAAATTGAAATTTAGAGGCTGATACTCTTATCAAAATAATTAATTTTTTTATTTATTATTTAGTGCATGTAAATAGTTTTCAATAAAGCCAAATCATAATTTAACTCATAATAAATAATTTATAGTAAGTTTTTGAATAGTATTCATAGTTTCTCAAAATTCTGGAAATTCTAGATTCATTTTCCAGAAAATAACTTTATTTAAAAAAGTAAATCATATCAATAAAATTACAAACTTTATGTGTATCGATAGCTCGTCAATTATAGTTTTCGAATATATAAAAATAATTAAAAAAAAAAATTAGAATTTGATATAGTTAATTTATAAAACCCATGTAGATCATCCTGAATTTCCAAATTTAAAACTCCAACTTGCATAGCAATTATCTACCTCATTTAAAATCTTATTTTAAATTATTCCAAAGCCTAAATTGAAGCTCTTTAAGTGTAGTTTCCAACAAGACCAATTTCGTATCATTTTGATTAGTATAATGAGAGGTATGAATTTTTTATTAAGCCATGTTCAATTCGGATTTGGTTGATGGATTTCTGGGTTAATGTTTTTGGTTTTGGAAAAATATCAAACAACAGCCTTTAAAAATTTTGGAAAATTTTTGGTAGTCTCCCCTTAATTTAAAGCATTTTCTAGAAAATTCAAAGCAAAATAACGTTTAGAAATATTCCAACAATATTCAAAACAACAACAAATCTAAGTGAAAAGAATAAGCAATTTTGATCAACAACATATATAAAAATTATAATAAAAGCTTAAAGAGATCAATCCTCACGCCCCATACCTTGGGGAGTGAAGGTGATAAGTAAGAGGAAGTAGAAGGTTTGGGACTCTTGTATGGTGGTGAAAGAAGGAAGAAGATGATGAGGGTTTTTGATGGTGGATAAAAGAGATGGAGGTTTGTTATGATAGTGTGGTGTTTAGAAGAGGGAAAAGAAAAGTGAGAGGGGGTTGTGGTTTGGAACTTTGGTAGAGGAGAGTGGGGTGAGGAGAATGAAAGACTTTGTTGGCTATTTATAGGAGAAAATGAGCTTAGGTGGTAAGGATGATGTAGGCTTGCTTATGTCACAATTAATTTTTTATTAAAATTAATTGAGTCATAATAAGAATAGAGAAAAAGAGGAGTGAGTAGTAAGAAAAAGGTACAATGATATTCTTTATCTTTTTTTTTTTTAATCTCTTTGTACAAAGATTTCTCTTGAACTAGTACCGATTAGATATTGTTTCTATACATATTTCATG